CGTGATGAAGTATTAAAAGGAAAACATACATTAAAGCATTATGGTATTAAAGTGGGTGTTGATGACCAAGATATACTTATGGATGATTCACAAGAGTGGCAATCATCATCATCAAGTGATTCAGAAACTGAAAAACATTAAACTTCTAATTGGTGATCTAATGAGAAAGACACTCTTACGATTGATCATTAAAATCGGGCAAAGTCTGTTGCTTTATTTTTGTACAGTTCCATACTTCAGCTTGCTATTGCATAAGTTACTTTTTGTATTTGTTTGTTTCTCTCTACAGAGACAGATTTTGAAAGTATGGAATTCGTTAGGGAGGAGAACACACGGAATTGTCTTTGAAAAAATGTTATTGGTTCTTTCGTTCTCTATCTTCACCAGTATTTCTCGTCTTTCCCTAGTTTCTTCTTCTCATTCCCATTTTTTTATTCATCTTTCTAAAATTTGAAGTTCAAGGTGAAGCTGATCGCGGAGACTCCTATTGCTTTTTACCATAAAAAATTCTTTTTCACTCACTTTACTTTCTCGAGTTGGTCATTTCATCTCAATTATGCCTAATCGTATAGATTTGGAACAAGGCTAGTTCGAATGTTCGAGAGCTGTAGTCGATGCATCTGAACGTTTTGCTTTTCGATATATGTTTTATTTAATGCGTCTGACCCAACTGTGCCTGAGAAGATAAACATTTTTCACTCTATCACAATTTCAGCTCTTAAAATAATTTTTGAAAATCATGTAAACATTTCCAAAGGTCTTTCACATTTCACATTTCGCTGGCCAAATCGATTGTTCTTCACACTCTAAGCGGAGCAGTTTTCTTAATTTAACTGAAAAACTTTCGGAATAAATGCAATTTACGTAAATTTGAAGGTCAAAATTTTATATTTCCGATTTATTTCAAAAAGATCCTATATGTAATAAAATCTTTAACCTACTTTATGATACATCTGAGTGTTCAACAGATTATACCTGTTGCTTACAGGCGTTCTATCGGCTGTGACGCGTAGCGTTAGATATGTAAAAACCACTTGTATTATATTTAGTGTACCTTGTACTACTATCCGTTTCAAAACTCAATGCCCCTGACTATTTTTTGAATATCTCGAGAATGGAACGTGGTAGAGAGTTCGGATTTTCGCCATTCAAAAGAAGAGACTCTGAGGCACATTTTTATAATAGATGTTAATCCGAAAATATCTTTTTAAAGTAGGTTTTCGAGGAGATCTTTGGAAAACCAGCTCATAGCTCAAAAACTTCAAGTGCAAATACTTTCGATTTTCTTCATGGACAGATAATCCAAAGTGTCCTCTTCAAAATGGGGTCAA